GGGCGGGGGCGCCGGCGGCCCGGGGCCCCGGGCCCGCGCGCGCCCGGGCCCCGCGCGGCGGCGGGCCCGTGCAGTGGACATGGGCGGCGCGGCGGAAAACGGGTCGGACGCCGCGGCCGCACCGATTCGCGTTGACGTCCGGGTACACGCGCGCCCGCGACATCGCCGTGGTGGACCGCCCTACGCCGGGCGCTAGGCGCGCGCGGACGAACGAGTTCGAGCACAGGCGAGCTGCGGGCTCGGCAGGCTCAGGCGAGATCGGCAAGGACGGCAAGCGCGGCCAGAGTTGGCGTGCGCCCCATCTGCGTAAGCCCCGGAGCGCCTCAGGCCTCGCCTCGCACGCCCGCTGCCACGCGTAGGCCACCGAGGCCGGGGCGCCCGGAGCGGCCGCGTGACCCCCAGCTTCCGGCTGCGCGACGTCGCGCCGCTCGCCGCGAGACACCGGCGAGGCCCGTCGCCAAACGCCGCCGCGGCGGTCCTCGCCGCGGCCCACCGTCCGCGAAGCCGAACCGACGTCGCTTACACCGGCGCGCGCGTATGTCTCGGGTGTCGCGGCGCCCGCCCTAGAGCTCCATGGCGTCGGCGTCGGAGACGGAGACGACCGTCGAGAGCACGGCCGTCGCGGCGGCGGGCGGGATGAGCGCCTTGGGCCGCGCGTAGGCGGCGCGGAGGGGCGCGGTGTCGTTGGGCGTCTCGTAGCCGCGGATGACCTCGGAGGCGCCGCCGGCGCGGATGATGGTGACGTCGACGTTGGAGCCGCTGCCGAGGTCGTTGAAGATGCCCGCGCGGATCGCGTTCTTCACGAGCGCGACCGCGCCGGCCTCGTCCATGCCGTCCTTGTACTCCGTCTCGAAGACGGACATGGCCGCGAGGGAGCCCGAGCCCATGGTCACGTAGGGCAGCTTGGACGTGGACCCGTGGGGGTAGATCTGGTAGAGGCCCGGGCCCGTGCAGTCGACGCCGCCGAGCACGAGCGCCGCGCCGATGTGGCCCTGGTACTTGAAGAGCATGCGCTTCAGGAGCGTCACGGCGGCGACGACGCGGCTCTGCGTGCCCGTCGACAGCCGCAGCAGCTCGAGCTGCGACGCGATGAGCTCCGTCGTCTTCTCCGTGTCCGCCGCCTGCGCGCGGAACGGGGTTCGGCGCGAGTTCGTTTTAAAAATGGTCGGGACGCCGCGGGCGCGCCGTGCCCGCGCCGCAGCAGTAGATGTTCGGCGCGAGGTAGTGGATCTTCTCGCAGTTCTTGTCCGCGACCTCGGAGCCGGCCGTCGCGCGCCTAGGACGGGCGGCGCTCGGCGGCGGCGCGGCGCGCGCGGTCCGGGGTCGCGGGGCGCGCGGCGTTGACGCGCGCGCGGCGTTCGCGGGCGCCGGGATGCTACGTGTCCGCGCCGAGGACGATGCCGCCGTCGTAGACCATGCCGCAGATCGTCGTGCCCGTCGACATGGGCTGGGGCATCGGCCGGCCCCCCGCCGCCGCGGCGATCTGCTCGTTGCGCGCCGTCATGCCAAAATCAAACCCGCCCGTCTCCACGGGCTTGAGCGTCGCGACATCGAGGTCGAGGGCGGCCATTTTCGACGCGCGCGCGCGGTGTCCAGCACCTCCGCGAGTCGGCTGCGACGCGGCTCGCTCGAGCGCTCCGGCAACGACAGCCCCGCAGCTCACGACAGGGGGCGATAGTCGAGCTCGTCGTCCGTGTTCGGCCGCCTCAGCCTCGCTCCACCCTTCCGCACCCCACCCGAAGCTCACCAGGACGGTCGACACACACCACTCCACCGGCACAAAAAAAACACAGCCATGGGTAAGCATGGCGACCCGCGCAAGTCGCGGAGCAAGATCCCGGCCTTCAGCAAGGGCGCGTCGTCGGCGAACCCCGACCGCAAGGCGGGCAAGAAGGCGAACGGGTCCGGCGGGTCCCTGCGCGACAAGGCGACGATCAACCGCATCAACATGTACAAGGGCGGCCGCGTGAAGCGCGACAAGAAGGGCGTCGTCGTCGAGGGCGAGCTCGCGCGGCGCGACCGCGCGGGCAACTCCGAGATCACGGGCGCGACGGGCCGCGTGCAGCCGGACCGGCGCTGGTTCGGCAACACGCGGACCATCGGCCCGGGCGAGCTCGACAAGTTCCGCGAGGAGATGCGCGAGGTCGCGTCGAACCCGTTCGCCGTCGTCCTCAAGCGGAAGAAGGTGCCGACGAGTTTAGTGAACGAGGCCGAGGGCGACCGGAGCGCCAAGGCGAAGCGCGAGGAGCTTTTAGCCGCCCAGCCCTTCGAGGGCACCTTCGGGCCGTCGAGCTCCCGGAAGCGCTGCGCGCTGCCCGCGGCCGTCGCCGCGCTGAGCGGCGCGCCCGGCCTCGAGAAGCTCGCGGCGACGGCGCGCGCGCGCACGGACGTCTACGAGGAGAAGTACGCCGACGGCCGCGGCGACGCGCGCGCGCTCGAGAGCGAGCGGGCCCGGTCCGCGGACTGCTTCGCGCGCGACACCGCGCGCGACGACCTCTTCGCCAAGGGCCAGAGCCGCCGCATCTGGGCCGAGCTCTACAAGGTCCTGGACTGCAGCGACGTCGTCGTCCACGTCGTCGACGCGCGCGACGTGCCGGGCACGACCTGCGACCGCGTCGTGACGCACCTCAAGAAGACGGCGACGCACAAGCATTTGCTCTTCGTCGTCAACAAGTGCGACCTCGTGCCGAACTGGTGCGTCCGCAAGTGGCTCGCGCACCTGGGCCAGACGGCGCCGACCTTGGCGTTCCGCGCGTCGACGACGAAGCCCTTCGGCAAGGGCGCCCTCCTCGACGTGCTCTGCCAGTACGCGAAGCTCCACGGCGACGCGAAGCAGATCTCCGTGGGCATCGTCGGCTACCCGAACGTCGGCAAGTCCGCGGTCATCAACTCGCTGCGCGCGAAGCAGGTCTGCAAGGTCGCGCCGATCCCGGGCGAGACCAAGGTCTGGCAGTACGTGACCCTGACGAAGCGCGTCAACCTCATCGACTGCCCCGGCGTCGTCTACGACGACCCGAATCGCGCGTCGCCGCCGACGAGGCGGACGACGCGAACGCGGTGCTCAAGGGCGTCGTCCGCGCGGAGCGGCTGCCGGACCCGACGCTCTTCCTCGTGCCGCTGCTGCGGCGCTGCGACCCGAAGCACGTGCGCAGCGCCTACGACCTGCCCTTCGACGGGTTGGCGGGCGGCGACGGCGACGACGCGGCGGCGACGGCCTTCGCGGAGGCGCTCGCGCGGAAGATGGGCCGGCTGCTGCGCGGCGGCGAGCCCGACGTGCGCACGGTCGCCGTGCAGATGATCAACGACTGGCAGCGCGGCAAGCTGCCCCACTTCGTCCCGCCGCCCGCCGCCGCCGGCGACGGCGTCGCGTCCGGCGAGCCCGAGGCCGCCGCGGACGACCTCGCCGCGCTCGAGGACGCGAACGAGGCCGCGGCCCAGACCGCCCTCGACGGCGAGGCGGCCTAACTTCTCGCTTCGATCTAGAGCCGCGTGAGCGCGGGGGACCCGTCGGGCGCGGCGGAGGGCGCGGCCTCGACGTGGTGGTCGCCGCCGTCGACGCCGCCGCGGTGGTGCGGGTCGCGGTCCGTGAGCCCCGCCTCGAGCTCCATGACCGCCTGGACGTCGAGGCTCAAGCGCCCGTGGGGCCGGAACTCGTCGTCGTCGTCGTCGTCGTCGTCGTCGTCGTCGTCGTCCGCGCCCGCGCCGGGCTGGATCTCGCCGCTGAGGAGCATGGCCTCGAGCTCGCTGACGACCTCCTTCTCGACGAGGAGCTTCGAGTGGCGCCGTACGGGCTCCTCGTCGACGTCGTCGTCGAGGTCCGCCTCGTCCTCGAGGAGGCCCGGGTCGTCCGCGAGTTCGTCGTCGTCGTCGTCGTCGGCCGCGGCCGCGGCTCCGCCGCCGTCCGCGTCGCCCTCGCCCTTGTCGAGGAAGCGCCGCCCCTCGTCGACGGCGGCCCGCGCCGCCTCGACGTTCTTGCCCCGCGTCTCGAGGTGGGCCTCGAGGAGGTACGCCTGTGTGGAAATCAACCAGTGGAACGCCCTGTCCAGCGAAAACTTCAAACCTCTCCATCTCGGTCAAATCGACGTCGATTCGGCTGATTTTTGGACGAATCGATTGCTCTCGTCGAGTTCTCGGAGCACAACCGAAGAGCTTGCGTCAAAACTGTCGCATACGCTCACATTGAAGTCGGGTTGAAGATTTGATTTCCACACAGAGGTACGCGAGCATCTCGAAGTCCGGCGGCGGCTCCGCCGACGGCGGCGCCTGGGCAGGAAAAGAGTGATTCAAGTTCGCTTCAACATGAGTGTTCCGCGCGCGCGCGTTCCGGAAACAACATGCACGCTTCGAGACCGCCCCGAGAGATGATCGCTCGTCCAAAAATCAGCCGAAACGAGCGGAAAACGGCCGAGATAGGAGCCTTTGAAGTTGGGAATTTCGCTCTCTTTTCCTGCCCTGGGCGGCGCGGCGTCCTCGGCGGGCTCGTCGTCCTCGAAGCTCGCCCCGCGGGGCCGCCGCGGCCGCGACCCCTCGTCGTCGTGGGCGAGGTGGCCGCCGCGGCGCGGGCTGCCGCCGGCCGCGCCCGGCGGCGGCCGCGGCGCCTTGCTCTCGACGAGCGACGCGGAGTCGCGCGTGACGATCGTCCGAAGTTGACGAAGCCCGCGCCGCTGAGGGAGCCCATGTCCCGCAGCTTGGCCCGGCTCAGGTCGTTCATCTCCGCCAACGACGCGTACTCGAGGAGCCGCGCGTCGCGCGTCCGCGCGCGCGCCGCGTTCTCGGCGAGGAGCGCGTCGAGCTCCCGGGCCTGGTCCGCGACGACGGCCCGCATGTCGCCGTGCTCCCGCTGGAGCGTCGCGTAGGTGTGGCTCACCTTGGCGATCATCTCGCGCTGGGCCTTGGCGCCGGCCTCCGCGGACCGCGTCATCTCCGCGACCCAGTGGAGCTCGTCGGCCTTGACGCGCTCCTCCAGCGCCTCCATGTCGGCCGCGCGCCGCGCCGACGCGGCGTCGAAGTTCGCGTGGGCCTCGCCGAGCTTGCGCGTGACCTCGACCTTCATGGCCTGGTAGGCCGTCAGCAGCTCGAGCTGGCTGAGGATCTCGTCCGTCTGCCGCTTCGCCTCGAGGTCCGCCGTGCGCTCCCCGTCCTCGACGGCGGCCATGGCCTTGGCGTGGCCCTCCCGCAGGTCCTCGCGCTCCTTGACGATGCCCGCCTTCTGGGCCTCGAGGTCCTCGATGACCTGCGTCTTGGCGCCGATGACGCGGTCCCGGTCCTCGATGTTCGCCGCCATCGTGTCCGAGAGCTCGGCGAGGCGGCCCACGAGCTGCGCGTGCTCCACGCGCAGGTGGAGCACCGTCTCCTCGAGGACGGCGAGCTGCTCGCCGAGCGTCGACATGGTGTCTCGATGGGATTGATCTCAGGCTGCCATCTCCATCGGCAGTTTTGAGGGAAGCACCTTGACCTTGCATGCGATGTTGCTTCGCAGGACTGGGCATTTTTGACTCTGCTAATCCCCGCCAGGCCCCCTGCGGTAGTTTATCGATAAACTACCGCATATATATGAGTTCAACACTGAGTTCAACTCCGACATTGAAGTTGAAGGGTTCAACAAGGAACCTTGAAGCTCAACGCCTACATTGAAGTCTTCTTGAAACATACAATCCGACATTGAAGACTTCAACATATGCGCTCAAACCTAAAGTCTCGTTAACAAAAAAAACAGCAAAATCTTACACCAAAAAAGTTATTTTTTTTTCTTCTACCAAGGACCAAGGCTTATATCTTTTAGCCGCTAAGCGCTTTGTAAAACAGCTGGCCGCCGCGCGACATGGCTTCTAACTCGCTCTGGAAGAGCTTCAAATCGATGCCGCAGCGCGAAGCGCTCGAGGCGCTTGCGTATCTTGTGGAGCGCGTTAGCGAGACGGAAATCAAGTGCAACGTCCCGTCAAAGTTGACGACCGCGCTCTTGAAGAGCTCTGTGCAGCTGACACACATTGCTCAGCGCTCCCTTTCTAAAGTCAAAGGCGTGTCGCTGGAGGTATGCTGGACGCCCGAGGTCCGCGAAAGCCACGCCGCCGCTGCTGACTGCGATTCCGATTCTTCTGATAAGTCCCGGCTGCCCGGTGGATCCCGGGCCCCGGCATACTTCTATGTATTAGTTTAAGTAACGGCGGATACTTGTAATGCAAAGATACCGGGGCCCGGTGCGGCTTTAGTGGCCCCCCCAGTGCCCGCGCCCGCTCAAGGTAGGCGCGTAGGCGGGGTGCGTCGCCTAATGCGCTAGAGAGAAAGATACACTGGCAAGAAAAGACTTGGCTGCCCCCGCGCGCCGCGCCGGACCCCTCCAGAGACAGGATCCCGGACCTACTTCTCGGAACTTCGCATGTTTCTGGCGATTCTTTACGCGGTCGCCTCACACGCGCCGCACGTCTTCGCGCAGGCGTCGCGCGCGCCGTCGATGCCGCAGCGGCGCGCGGGGTTGCGCGCGACGCTGACGCAGTCGAGCTTCTTGTTCTTCTTGTTGGTGTGCGACCACGTCGAGTCGTCGACGCACGCGCCCTCGGAGGGGCACGACGCGCAGGCGCGGACGCACTCCGTCAAGGCCCGCGCGCCGGTCGCGCCCTTCTTGCGGCACCGCTTCTTCGGCTTCCTCTCGACCCACGCGCAGGTCTTCATCGGGGCGTCTTTCCGGTGCCAGGACGTGGAGTCGCGGCCCTTCTTCGACGCGCACGACGGCCCGGCGGCGCCGACGAACTCGCCCTCGCCCGCGGGGGATCCTCA